CAGTTGTCCAGGTGAAAGCACCACTCCTCCTGCTGGTGTGAAATCACTTACTTGGGCATAAAAGTCCATGTCCATGGGCACAGCGGGTTGCGTTTGAATGGGCGTCTCCTCCACTTCTGATGTCTGCTGGACGCCAAGATCAGGGATGGAAGAGCTGCTTCTGGAAACCAGAGGGTGGTTATCTCCTCGTCCAGAATGGCCAGGCAGAAGGGAAGCCAAGTCCTCGGGATTTGGGATTTCTGGGTCGTAGCAGCTAGCACGACCCGAATCGTTGTCGCTTTTGAAATGAAGGAAATGAGAAGAGCCTGAGCGGGACAAGCCCAGCAGATGTTGTGTATCAGAACTCTCATTCTTCTCTGCAGGGTCATCAAGGTCCAGCTGGATGAACTCCACCCATGGATCCTCATGGTAGAAGTCCGGCTTGTACATATCCTGACTGCTCAGCAAAGAATTGAGCTGGTCAAGCTTTCCATTCTGTCAGTTAAGGAACATTTATATGGTGTTATTACGACCTAAAAAATAAGTCCTATATGCAATAAAATAAAACTATGATAGGAACAAAAATTCAAGATCAATCATCATGCATCAAAAACATTACATGTCTATGTGGGCATAGGTGTGTTTGTTCTCGATTGCTCATGGGGTTTAATTGTTTAATGCTTACATTATGCTCTAAAAATGGAGTACGAGGGTTGTTTAATTAACAAGTCCCTGAGCTTTCTGGAGGTTTTAATAATTACGGGAGAACACCCACAACACGTCAACAATTATGACCTTTTCAAAACAATCAAGTTCTGCAGTGATTCATGCCATTTTGCAACTCATGCTAGGTTTGCACAGAGGCTCAATCTTTTCAGTTTAATTTTATAATGCAACAATTTAAATAATTATTATGTAACACTCTGCCTAATATACTTATTCATGTAGTCACATCATTGTTTTGCTGACAATTGCTGTAGTAATTTCTGACTAATTCTTAAATCAAAAACGCACTAGGTAATACATTTTCCATGCTATACATTCTGTATTACACATTATTATAATTACTTGCAGTTGCAAAAACAAGACAAATATAATTAGTATTAAAAGATTAACAAAATGATCAGGTACATGTTCATGTAAAATTGTACATGTTTAATGCAAAATTACCTTCAGCAGCTCTGGGTCGATGCCTTTAATTTTAGGTGCAGGAATAGGTGGTAAAAATATCACCATCAACCTAAGGAAACAAATTGGCAAAATATTGTAAATGAAAACCATTATATGCATTTGTTATTGTGTGTTGCTCCTGGGGTTCTGTAGACAGAGCAATTCTCTGCTTTTAGCTTAACATGAAAACTAATTACAAAAATTTCTTAAATCGTCATTTTAAATCTTATATTTAAGATTCTTATATTTAAATCTTATATTTTTTATATTTAAATCTAATTTCTAACATTTCTTTCTTTTGATTTTGGGTTGAAATGTGACCATATCTGTGAGATACACCATATAGGTTTTTAAAAATAGTTATCTCACCTCTGCTGCTGAGAGAAGATGAGGAGGACAAGAAGAATCACCACTCCGATCACTCCAAAAATGAACACCAACGTCGTCGGGAACGTTGATTCTGTGCAAAGAAAAATGTTCTTTTCTTACCCTGGAGCAATTTGCTTAACTGATTCATGATGGTTCACCTGCACAGCTGCTTTCACTTTGTGCAAACAACAAGTCAAGTTCTTGGCGTCAACTAACCTTTGCTTGGTATCCGTGCCACATGCACAATGATGCTGTTACTGAATTCGCCAAAGTTGTCAAAGGCTGGCATCTTGCAGCGCACCCGGACTTCATACTCTTTGTCAGTATGCAAACCGTAGATTGACTGCTGTGTGCCACTCTCCAGGTCCAGCTGCAATAAGAAAGGATGAAAAAGTAAATAAGAAAAGAACAAACCAAGGGATTGAGCAATAAACTAGCATTTGTGAGCCATTACATTTACTCAG